TTGTGCAGGTCAATATGAAAACTTGAGGGAAAACAAGAAAATTTTGGCATTTATTCTGTTGCAGAGGAAATTATTTTGGCCACCAGAAAATGCCAGCACATTCTGCTCCCTTGAATCCCCTTGAACTGTTCGATAGAAATCCAGTGCCGTTCCCACAGCAGAGCCACAGCCACCCCACACACCTCCTGGCCACCACCACGTTTGCTGGGCTGAGTCTGCCCAGGCTGGTAAAACATACACGTTTCCTTTAATCTGCCACTCTTCTCTATTGCTATTTGGTTTTAAAGCAAGCCAGAGAAGTTACTAATTATGAGGCTGATCCAGAGCCCACTGGGCTCAATAAAAGGTTTACCACTGAGTTCAGCTGGACCAGAGCACCCTGGGGTCATTGTTGTGCTCCAAAACAAGCATCCTTTGCAACCGCAGGAAAACGCAGGTAGGCTTTTCTGCACTACAAAAACAAACAAGGATCTCCTGTGGGGACATAAAGATTTCATCCTCCTGTAGTCTAATTATTTTTTCACTTCTGTTCTTCACTCTCTGTTGCTTAGTTGACTTCAGTCAATTCAATTTCTGTCCTAAGCAAGAGGAGCGTCAGACCCGAGAAGTCTAATAGTGCGCAGGCAGAATAACACCGCTTGGTCTTGGCTAGCCAAGGAAAAATTTTGCTGTGGGGAGAAGCAGCTGAGAAATCCCCTGTGAATCCCTCTTTGCGTCACCCAGATTGCTCTGGTGCTGCCACGTACCCCCCTGCCAGCTTGTGGCAAGGCAGAGACAGCTCCACTGCTCCTGCGTCACAGCCTTTACTCCCCTTCACGGTCAGTTATTAGCCGTTTGCAAGTTATGTTTTCCGAAAAGCCCAACAGCTCCACCGCCTAAAGCTTTACCAGTAAAGGGAAATTTGCTGCACAGCTCCAGCCTCTGACCCAGGGCATGCCCCAGCGCTGGGGGGGCTGGCACCCCCTTCACCCCAAAAACCGTCCTCGCTTTTGATTTCCAGCTTAGTGACAACACAGCAACAACGGTGCGTGAAGGGTAAAGGGGGATCAGCACGGGTTACCCTCCAAACAGAGGTAGGTAATCTTTTGGGGTGAAATGCAAAGGTGAGTCTGGATGGCTGAGCCACACACCGCAGAGAAGGGACGGTGCTGTTTTTGGGAAGTGGAGTTGGGGGTTTTACCTTCACCTCACTCAGAGCGAGGTGAAAGGCTCAGGCTAATAGTGGTTGCAGTGATCACATGTGGGGGAAGAAGAAAACGAAGCAAGGAAAATATAAAGAGAGAAACTGCCTTTTGACTGACAGCTCAGAGCTCTCCATCCCTGCTTGGGAAGGGAAGGGAAAGCTTCGAGTAAGAATTTATCAGCTTTCATGAAAATAATACAGCTGGCCTGTTTGAACCCTCACCTGCTGCATCACGTTCTGATTACAAATGATACCTGTTTATCCTGGAAAGATGTTTCTAGATGCTAAAAGTTTACCTTGGACCTTATTTGGATCTTATAAAATATATTTGTAGTTTTGCTGGTGCAAATCCGGAATCCAGTGCGCCGGTCTGCCTTTCCCCTTTCTATGAAGCAAGGAGAACTTGCCCTCAACCGGTGCCCAGAGGTGCCGGGAGGAGCCACCGCCGACCCTGAAGCAAGCCCCGCTCCGCCGTGCTGCCGTCTCCGTTGCCATCTAGTGGCACCGGGGCCACGGTCCCCACCCGCGCCCCACGCAGAACCCTGACCCACAGCCACGGGCCGCGGTCGGGAAAAGGGTCGGGGCCCCGCTGAGAAAAGGAGGTTTCTTTCTTTTGATGCAATTAAAACGCGCCACTCGGGCTTTTTTCCTTCCTGAATTATATTAATCTAAGTATAAGAAGTGCATTATCAGTATTTGCTCCTGTTCCCGTCTCTGGCAAGAACGAAGGCTGGGCTGCAGGGGAGGGAGCACGGGAAGCCGAGGGGGTGCAGCTGCGGGGACGGGGAGGCATCGAGGCTCTTCTGCACACCCGGGAGTAGAAGAGAAGGGTCGGGGCCCCGCTGAGAAAAGGAGGTTTCTTTCTTTTGATGCTATTAAAACGCGCCACTCGGGGTTTTTTCCTTCCTGAATTATATTAATCTAAGAAGTGAATTATCAGTATTTGCTCCTGTTCCCGTCTCTGGCAAGAACGAAGGCTGGGCTGCAGGGGAGGGAGCACGGGAAGCCGAGGGGGTGCAGCTGCGGGGACGGGGAGGCATCGAGGCTCTTCTGCACACCCGGGAGTAGAAGAGAGGCCATAGCAGCAGGAAAAGGGTAGGAAGCTCCACAAAACCATCTGTTGTATCACATTCAAAGCTTTTATTTGCTGTCATTTTAAAACCTCCAGGAAGCTTCCAAACAAACTCTCCACTAGAGAAAAACGACCTGGGGTTTTGTCTACAATATATCACATTCAGCTCTTCCTGCTTGGACTCCCTTCCGAGCGCTCATTTGTTTTACTTCCCTGTGGCTTTTCCTCAATACCAACCACTGTTTGTTTGTATTCTTTAACAGCATGAATCACCCCTTAACAAACCCTAGGTGACACAGGACTTTGACCTCGTTTACGTAGTGTAGGTCTGGGAGAAACTCCATGGCTTTAAATGGGGTTGGTCTGTGGATGAAGGAAGGCAGCGAAAGTATTACCTTGTGCTCTTCGTTCTTCTTCCCCAGCAACCAAAAACCTCACTTTGCCTCCAAAAGCAATTATCCTCTGTCTCAGGAGGAGCGGGTAAGTCAGTAGGAGACACCAACCCACAGGGTCTCAATGTCACCTGCCGTCCCACCAGTCAGATGATGCTGCCTGCAGCTCCTGTATCCACGAGGGGCTTTATTAACACTACGGTTTAAGCACAAACCTAAACCCAAACTCTCCTCCTTGGAGACACCACGATGACCTGCAGTGAAGCCTGGACCCCCATGGGGTGGCCCTGACCCCGTTAGCAGGAGGCTCTGCGGCACGGGCTTCCCAGGCAGCACGGATCCAGCCCACCCCTGCTGAGAACATAGGCTGGGAAAGGGTGACAACTGATGAAAAACACGCACACAAGCACCTGTGAAATACTGATTATATTTCTATGCTTTTATGGCAATATAATACTTCATATGAGACTGGGAAACATACTTTCAAATATTTTGTTACCTGGACACCCACACAACCTATTTATGGAACAGGAACGCCTTGTTGCTGCTTACTTAAATCTATGACTTACCAGCAACATAATAAATGCCCAGAATCCCACGAGCTTTTCTTTTGCTCTGGAAACAACACACTCAGATAAAGCTCATTTTATAAACACTAGAATTGCATTGCAATATCCATATATATATATATAGATATAAAGAAAAACTTCTACCTTTCATAAATACATCATACATAAAATATGTTCCCAAAATACATTCATGCATTTTCCCCATCTAAGATCCCTGCTTGTACCCAAAGTGTCTGTAAGCTGGGAAGAGCAATCGCTGGGCAAGGCCTGGAGACAGGCTTGTGTTTGCAGGTGGCTCCAAACCCAGGTGGAGGTTGTGAAGAAGCCTTTGGTGTTTGGGTGGTGTTGGGGTTAACTCCTGCATCAGTGGGTCTAATCCTGCCTCCCCGGATAAACAGGGCTCTCCTGCACGCTGTGCCCCATCAAACACCAGCTGCCCATGTTCAAGCAGCCAAAAGCCACCCTCCATCTCACCCTTAGCACTTCTAGTTTTTCCAGCAGTTACTGGAGATGCTCAAGTCTCTCCCAGCGCTTGACGGAGGCTGGGAAGCAAGGGCTCTGGATGCGGGAAGGTCACTACCTGGCTTTGGTGGAAGGGGATCTGTGAATGGAAGAAGCTGCTTTCCTGACTGCCATCGACCTGAAGATTGACCACGCTCCCACCGCCGCCATCCCCGTCTGCAACGGGAACGGCTTCGCCTCCACTCTGAGAGTCGGTCCTTTGCTAACGAGGGAAACAAATGCCCATCTCGTGTCCGTTTATGAAAGCATAAATACACAAAATATACAAAAACATCTACAAAGTAATTCTAAGTAGCAGCTGGCACAAAAGAAGCACCAGTTCTGCAGCTCAGTAATGTAGGTCCCATCCCCGTGAACGTGGTTTATACAGTGTAGGACTCCAGGGGCCGGCCACGGCCCTACCCCGGAGCTGTACCTGGATCGTGTGGCTGTGCAAATACAGGCAGACTAAGCACTAACCTCACCTGATCTGGGTTGAGAGGGAAGCCAGACATACGCCTGTCCAAATTCCACTTCCCCCCCCTCAGAAAGGTCCTGGTCAATATTGCAAGTGCACATTCAAAGGTCATTTTGGGAACGCTGCTCTCTCTACTTGCAAGCAGGCCAGTTACAAGTCAGCATCCCCTTTCCACAAGGCAGTCTATCCTTAGGGCAAACTATCCCTTAAGCTAGCGGTCTAGAGACAAATTAAATTCATTCTGACTTTTCTCATCTACCCAAACTCAATGTCTTTACAGAGCAACCGAAGAGAAGCATTGCATAGATCTGTATCTCATGTCTTCCCGCACCCAACAAACAGCAAGAAATAAGTTCAAGTTTTGCACAGTACATTATAAAAGGCATCACCTTTAAACAACGCAAGAAAAAAAAAAGATGAAGTGTCACCACGGTGTAAACCCTGCAGTGAAATGAGGCAGTGAACATACAGTGCTCGGCAGCTCTCGGGGATGGCTGCCTGTAGTGTACTGATGAATTTGCTAGACAAATCTCCTCTCAGACCTCTCTCTCAATGCACACTAATATGAATTTGCATAATTAGATAACCTGCCCCTGAACAAAAGGAGCGATGCTGTGTGTCACAGGAAGGAGGACGACACTGACGGGGCCGTCTGCTTTGCATACAGCAGTTTAAGGGCCAGTCGTCCCCTTTGCAATGCAGACTGCAGGACAGCAGGGCTCTTTTCAGGCTTAGGAAGTCTCAACAGAAGTTTTGCTACAGTTGGCTTTACAGTTGAGATATTAGAGCCCAGATACTCTGGTGGTTTAAACCCCACATGCTCCATTGGAGTTACCGGTGCTTATTTCCACGAGTGGAGGATGCGGTCCTTGCTTGTCACAGACATAGAATAAAGCTGTGGTAGCCCTTTCTTTAAATAAAATTAAATAACTGCATATGGCATCAGCGCACAATTTTAAATGTGCTTCTGCTGTTAATAGCAAGCACACCAGTGGTTAATTAAATTATTTATCTTGAACTAAAAAAAGTGATAATTTTACCATTAATCTAAAAACCCCTAGGGAGTGCGTAATGTCTTCTCATCGTATTTTTGAGACTGAGAAAGTCACTTGCACGTGTACAGCGCTATATATCCTCTTCAGCCGGCAGCGAAGGTTTGTGTTCCTGGAGGTCACAGTTGCCATTTTCAGATGCATCCGAGCTGCCCGGAGCCAACTCTGGTGGCGGGGGTTTGTAGAGTAAACAGGAGACTATAAAGAAGGTTGTCCCAAGCACCTGCAGCCATGAAGACATCCCGTTACTCTCCGCTCCCCCTAAAACCAGGCGCCTAGCCCTCATTTGGGATGAGGTTTGCTGACCAAGCTTTGAGGATGAGATGATGCTGAAGGCCAGCCTGGGCAGCAGACCAGTGCACAGAGCCGGAGAGGGCAAAAAATCTGAATTTAGCCAGCCCCATAGCAATGGGACAGTGAGAATCTGGAAAGCTGTTCAGCCCCACATAGACACCTGGAACACAGTGCTGTGTGGACCTACACCGCCTGAGCCATTTGCTGGAAGGCTTTTGAAAGCCTCTTTATCATGGCAACTGCTAAACACTACTACCTAGGGCAAGTGCTTGTTTGGGAGCAGTTAAAATGATGGTTTTCAGCTAATAAATAAGAAATACACAGCTAAGCTCTCTTATTTTCTAGCAGTGATTGGGGAATGGTTATTTACAGCCTGCCCACAATGCCATCCCTCACTCTCACTAACACACCACAGTTATATATTTTACTCCATTTCTAGCAAAAAATCACTTCAGTAACTGCTGGGAGAAGAGGAGATATTTCATATGGTGCAACAGAAGCTGTAAGCCTAGAAAGTAATGGGAATTTAAGAGAATGATGGTGCCTGGAGCAAAGCAAATGGAGCTTTTGCCTTCCCTGAGAACACTTCTTGTGTGAAGGTCCAATCTGGGGGGGGGTGGGGGCGCAGATCAGGACAACCCAATTTTGTAAAATTCTCTCCCAGAGCAAAATGCTGTCTTCTAAAGACCTGCTCGCTTTATCAGAGAGTGAAGTTAACAGGCAGCATCACCTTGTAGACCAGTCCAGCGATGAGGGTGTATCGGCTCATGGCTGAGTTCTGGTAAACATAGCAAGAACCTTGCTCGCCGCACTGGTCCTGCCAGAGCAGGCAGGATTTGTCGATCATGGACCCAAAGGCGATGGGGCCAGGGATGCCTCCTGTGGGAAGAGAGAGTGGACCTTCAGTGTGGGCAGCACCTACTCACCAGCCTTGCAGGACGCACGGTGCTTGCAGAAAAGCATCAGGCTCTGCTGCTATCGTGATTAAACAAACTCATCCTGCAACGTCTAGAGCCACAAGGTATCCAAAATACGCTGAATTTCAAGACCTGAGAGTCCAGCGGGTCTTTTGACCATCCTGGCCTGCACGTTGCACAAGAGCCAAAAGACATACACAGGAGCTTCAACACCTCTGCTCCTTTTTTCTTAAAATAAGGACATGTTGCCAGGACACTGCTCTTCTACCCCACCTGTGATGTGTTACAGAACTTTTCATTCAGTTTGTAAATCATTTGCAAAGGGAATTAGGTTTTTCTGAATGATGGCAAACAAGAGAAAGCATCCTCCTTTCAACAGCGCATGCCCTACCCCCTTCTTTTCCAACCCAACATGTTTTATTCTTAGGTAACAGCTTGGCACATGCTCCAACAAGCCAACGGACCATACCGATGCCCAAATTCACTCTGTTCCATACCTAGCGTTCGTACTACAATCCACTGGATCCCGAGTGCGAATGACCTTTGCCTGTCAGAGACACACCTGGGGAACAAAAGGGGATTGTTTAAAAATGCTGCCAGGCTGCACGGCACCTCCCCGCCCCGCAGCGCCATGCACTTGGGTCCAGCATGCTTGGGACCTCCACCCCCTCTGGAGATCGAGGTTCACCACAGTGCAATGTCCCCCCACCACTGCTGCAAACTGGGACACACACATGGGTGACTGATGTCAGAGGATAGAGCTGCCAATGCTAAAATTTGCTTTCCCAGCTAGACAGGGAAGGGAGTTAGTCCCCATGTCTCCAAGCTGCCAGTAACAAGGTGGTTCCCATCACACCTTCCCCATGGCTTGAGCCTGCAGGATAAAGTGGAGAGGCGGATTCTTGCAGCGCTGGCGGAGGACAAGGCGATCCCGTGCTTACCGCAGCGTGGCTGTCAGGGCAGGAATACTGCTCAGAAAGGTGAAGAGGATCACCATGAACATGAAGAACAGGAGCAGGGGCCTTTTCGCACAAGAGGAGGTGCATTTCCCTGCCTCTGCGTCGCCGGGGCCGGGCAGAACAGTCTTCTCAACGCAGCTACACTCGTGATAGACCTGGGAAAGAAAGGCTGGTGGGTGCTTTGCCAAGGACAGCATGGTGATACTCAAAGCTTTAAAAAGAAAGAAATTCAGGGAGGGCAGAAACCGGCCGGTTTCACTCCCGGAGCGGAGCGAAGCAGAAATCAAGTTGCATTCTTGACACACCCCTGTTTCAAAACAGGTTATTAAATAAATTAACTTTGCCAGGCAGCTCTTGAATGCTGAATGTTATCATTACTCTTCTTAAGCCTTTGCCTGTCTCTATGAGCAACATGCTGGAAGGATGAGGAGGTGCATCATGTTCACTGAAGACGCAAAATAGGCATTGGGACAGGAATTAGGTGCCTACCAAGCTCCCCACCTGCCTGGGTGATTTACCACGGATTTCAGCGCAGTTTGACCCGGAGTGAGGCAAAACCAGTTGGACAAATTGAGAGAAGCAAAGCAGGGCGACCTCAGGGTACTTTCTGCCTTCATCCCAGGTGGTGCCTGAGAGCATCCATCCTGCACTGGGCTTTTACACTGATTTGCAGCAAAGCTCAAACCTGTGGACACTTTTGCAGAGCCAACCAAATCACTCTAAAGAAGATGTGCCACCACCTTGTTAATACACAGTACTTTCAGACATACCTTCTTGCCATTCCTGAGGTTTTCAGACACTTTTTTGCACCCGGCATGGCAGGGAGAGTAATACATAATGTCATCGCTCCCGCAGACAGGGCTGTAGGTCTCCTGTAGACAGTCACACTCGGTGTTGCAGGCTGCTGTCAGGTTTAGGCGGCCACCAGGCAAAGCACTAAGGGAAACACAGGAGCAGTCAGTGGGGAGACACCAAACAGCATTTTCCAGGAGGAAATGGGTAGAGCAAGAGAAGGAGAAGGCAGGACAGTAGGACATGCAGTGGATCCCCAAGTAGCACAAAGCCAGGCTTGGGAAGGGTTTCATCTCACCCAATTTTAACCATGAACAGGAATCGTGCCCTGGACCTGCATCTTTCCCACAGCTACCAAGGGCGTTTAAGTGACCAGCTCATAGGGAGACACCTCCATTTGGAGAGGAGATTCCCACTTTTAGTCCAGTTTATCCCACTGGATAGAGAAGGGGGACCCTGTGAAGGCAACTGAGGAGTGGAGTATCTCACACTCTGGCACTGCTGATCTCCCCTCCCTCACAGAAGAGGGAGACTCTTCCATAAACTCCAACTAGATGCAAAAATTAGGACATCTATATTCTGGGTCTCACCCTCAGCATCTGCCTGTAAGACTGACTGGACACCATGTTCCATCACCAACACATTCACACATGACTATCACCAGCGCTGTGTATTTGGAGTTATCCTTCTATTCTGACCAGGGCCGTGCAGCACAAGACAGATGGGATGATTGTTATTACCTTCCCTCGTACATCTGGGTTACTCCTGCCATCGGCATGTTAGGGCAGTGAATAAAAAAAATGAATATAGCCAGCAGACTCGACACTGTGCAAAGTAAACACAATTTGATGATTCCTGAACAGCGCAGTTTAAATTTATTCACAAGGAATCCTCCCAGGAATGTGCCTCCCCCTCCAGCTGGCACAACCAGATAACCTGAAAAAAAAGGGGAAGAAACCCACAAGCAAGTTTAGAAATGTCAGCAAGGAGTTTTCATGTCTGAATACATTAACTGCAGTGTGTTTGCATGAGAATAACCCCTTGGTTGCTGCGTGGCTTCTTGGTAGGAGTTCGGTGGACTTTGCTGTGGTAGGTGGTCCTCCGTAACAGCTCAAGTAACGTGGCATGAGCCTGGTAAGGCAGCTTTTCCTATCCAGAGATCTTAAAACAGACTCTTTCAGGAGCACATCATGAGTATTGATGCTTGTTGGACACCACTTCCTTGGTCTACGATACGGCAGCTGAGTGAGGATCTTCCCAGTTTCGGGATGCTGACAAAGTATGTCCCCCAGTTCAGACATTTAGTTAATGTTTCCTGGTAATGCACTAGAAGGAACAGACTACAATTATTTTGCCTTCCTCTAGAGGGTAACAGATGGCTACAGAAGTGACACATTTCTTCCTGATGTCAGTAGATACAGCACTGAAAACACACTTGGTACAGATGTGCTGATGGGAAACGAACCTATCTAATAGCCGAAGAGGATAACCGCTCTGTAAATGAACTGCAAAACGTGTTTGTCTCCATTCTAAATGAGCTACAGTGCTCTTGTATTTGTAGGCAAAATGGGAAAACATTGCAAAAAGCTGGTTTCCTTACCAAAAAAGGTAGCAGCTTCAGAGGCACTTAAACTAAACTGAGACTCCAGGAACTTGGGTCCAAATGTGGACATCCCAGCAATGAGGGTGGCTTCGGTCGCTCCCGCTAAGCAGAGGAAGATGAAGGTGGGGTTCTTCAGAAGCAGCAGTACTGATCTGGGAAGGACAAATATACTGGAATTGAATCACTGTGGCACGTTTTGATTTCAGGTCTTTCCCCTATCTTCAAGTCAGAAGGACCACACGTAAGACGAGGCAGCATCCCATCATTCTGCATCTCTTCAAAAGAAAAAAAACAAAAGGGAGCTAACTGGAGTTTGAAAGAGCAGTGAGCTTCTCCACTTATGCTTATCAAGTCCTACCAGCCAAGGAAGGATGCTGAGGATACCCTCACATCTCCCTGTGTAGCTGCGCAGAGTAGATGTTGGTGCTTTGTGGAGATAGTCTCCATTGCAGGTGGGGATCAACAAGTTTGCCCTCAAACTCTGCCTTTATATATAATGTCTCTCATGTGCCAACCTGCTCTGGCTCTTGTTCCTACTGGGTGTTGTCCTGACTATCTTCAGGCGCCTAACAGACGTGCTTACCCTGCTCGTCTTTTATAGCCCCGCTGGCTACAACCAACAGCCAAGGGAATCTGAGGAACGAAAACCAAACACCTAAAACAGGAGGGAATAATCCGGGATCTCATGAGGGCACCAGATGGGTCTATTTATCTCATGTGCATGTTCAAAGTGGGGATTGGATACCAGCAGTGTGTGTGTGATATAATTCATACTCAGGGTGCCCACGACTGCTGTATGGACAATTTCAGCGGTAATTTTCCAACATTTAGGGTCAAGCTGAGTATTTTCCATTCCTAAATGGGGCAATACTGAAAGGACACTACTCCTTACCAGATCTCAATCATTTCAAGGTTTTATTAGTCCCTGATGGCAGTTATCTTGGGACTCCTGACTCAACCAAGAGCAGGGAACAAAGTTGTGTTACATCCTCACATACGCACATGCTACTCATGTGCACCCATGTCCTCATGAGAATAACAATCTCTGATAACCATGGATGTTTTGCAGCTCAGGGAAATACCAAGCAAACTTTTCTATATGGAGGAAACACCTCCAAGACACCTTATATCCCACTGGAAAACAGAAAGCAATCTTTCTCTCACAATCTAAGCACAGTTTTACTTTAAGCTTAATGTGTAAGTTGAGCAAATACATTTTATTTTCGACCCACCGGGATTTAGTAGAGAGCCATAGACATGCCTTAAAAATTGCCATGTGTCATTTATATGCAGAAAGATGATCCAGCAACAATTCCATCTCCGAGACACAGAAACACCCTCGGGCACACGGGATGGTCTCAATTATATCTCACTATCTCGGATATTGGACTAAGAAGGTTGACACTGCTTTGCAGGGAGTGTTTTGTAACGAGCTTGAAATTCTGCGGCATGACTTTCCCCAATCCTAGCCTGAACCAGTGCCACAGATCATCCCATTTCTGAGACAGGCACAAAGCTGTCATCCCGCAGCGACGGCAGCAACAGGGGTGCCGTGGGATGCTCACTGAACTGAAAGGCACAGTCACTTACCACCTACTGCTTTGGAGGAAATGTGAAATCAGAGAAAACCTACTGTAGTACAACCGAGTGAGACGTGCTCTGGCTCAGCATCAGATTTAGGCAACTTTACCCACATAAAGTGGAGAATTTTATTATACCAAAAGAACAAAGAAGCTGAAGGACAAAATACCCCACATTCTTACACCTTGATTACAGGGGACTTTATACTAACCCTTGTCTAGCTGTTGGGATTAGTTTAATTTACTAAACTATTTTCCAGGAACGATCTTTTCAACTGTGCTTTATTTGGAAGCACAAATAGTTTCTCTTAGCGAGAAAACACTTGTGGACCTTGTGGCTGATGTAGAAAATGTACAATGCCTTCACCTTTTTAGAGTTCAAGAGAAAAGAGAGGAGCTGTCCCCTGGCACTAGCGTGACTTTGTGCCCGCTGGCCAAAGGTTACAGGTTAGACTTGCAGGTAGGAAAATGCAGAGGCACTCCTTTCAGCGCTAAGAGTAAGGGTTTACTCACGTAATTTAATCTGTTTGTAGACAGAAGATGTAGTTGTGAGGAGCTACAGCATATAAAACCTTACCAAAGTCAACACAGACCTTTTCATTGCTATCAGTAGGACTTCAAACACACCCAGAAACCACCTAACTCTTGAACAGTCTTGACTGCCCTCAGTTCTTGCAGCCAAAGGGATTTCTGGAGGCTCAGCACTGCCAAGAGAAGAATCCCACCATCTATAAAAACCTGATCCTGCAAGTCTTTACTGATATGGGCACATATAGGTACTCTTTCCTCATGTAATGGTCCTGCTGAGTAGGTTGGGACCACCTGTACAATCAAAGCCTGCTCCTCTGAGAAACACTTGCATGCCCAGGACACCCCAGACTGTAACAGAGTACGGCCACAAGCTAATGAGTCATTAACGAGACGGATATTTATGCAATCTTAGAGCATGTGAACGAGGACTTTTCCAGCACAAAATGACACCTACTGTCACCACCACCAAGGGAACGGAGGGCAGTACGTACATCCTGCAGGAACGTAAACCAATCTCCCTTTACCATGCATGGAAGCTGCAGTAAAGCCACGACACAAACCAAAGCCCCACCCTGCCACCTAACCCAAGAGGGATGAGCGAAATATTGACCACAGCTTCTCGTGTTGAAGATCAGGGCTTGACAGACCAGTGAATGATCCTCACAAACTCTGTCCTGTAGCTCGCTAGGACCAAGCCTCCTCTCCTGGCACAGCTCTACGTGTCTTCTGTTTGAATCCCTCTGCACCGACAGCAGGGGTTATTTCATGAGAGCAATCATACGGAACCAGAGAAAGGAAAATGCTATATTATCAGGCTTTTTCAACCCAAGAATTAAGACAGACACTTAATCCCCTGTCTCTTCAGGGCAGAAGATTAAGCTGTATGGGCTGCATTCCTGTAAGCTCCTGCTCTTAGGCAGCACTGTGAATACAGCAATTCATTAAGCTCGCCTAGAAAGGACCTGATGGCATGGAATAGTATTTTATTTCATTAGTATTTCTGCTTATCTTTGTGAGACTCTTACTGTCCGTACTGTGAGAAAATGTGTAGCATCCGATCCCTTACTAAAACAAAAGCAACAGTGTCCTTTGGCCTTGCTCTCCAGCCTGGTCCACGTGTCCCCAGGAGCTGCACACACAGATGTGATCTCCTCTTTAATGCAAGTTTTCAGAATAGCAACCCTTTAAGGCACTTCCCTTTTATTAATCAAAAGCAGGGAACACAAAAGTCTGTTGGGTTTTTGCTTTCAAACGAAAACCACACTAAGGTCTGGACTGATCTGAATTATTTGATAGGAGTTGCCCACCTTCAGGTATTTGTTCTTCAGGAACGAGGGGTGAAAGACGATGGTCCCGGAGGAGGACTGCCTCCGTACCTGCTGTCAGACAGCCTTCACCGAGAAACAGTGGGGGCTTTGTTCCAGATAAGCAAGAAAAGTATCAACCACTGAATTTCATCCCTCTCTGCTACCCTGTTTGTGTTGGTTTTAGTCACAACCTTATCATTATTTAAATGCAGGTTTTGAATTTAATTTCCGTGCGGAGAATATGCCGTGACCTCGGAAAATGGCACCCAGTCAAGAATGCCATTTAATAACAGTATTGAAATCTGTTCAATGCAATATTCTTCACAAAACTGCCTTAACCCCTGGTAAACTTCCTATGAAGTGTCCAAGAATTTCAGACCAATGTGAGTAGTTGCATTGACACAACACAGAGCGACTGCTGCTGAAAACTCCCGTACTGAGCACCTGCTTCGATCCTCCTCTGCCAGCACAAAGACAAACACCACAACTAAAGTTCAGAAGTAATTGCTGGCAGCGGCACGGGGTTTGGCAACACTGAGTGTTTGCCTTTGCATGAGGCAGCCATCACACATGGATGCAAACTCCTCCCTAAGAATGGTCCTGGGAGAAAAAACACAAAAAGGAAAAATCCCCTTACCGACTGCAAGCTCCAAAAGGAATTGGCACCCAGACATCTCTGCAACATCCAGAGCTTGCACACCAGCTAAACCCAAGCTGCAAATAAAGCAGCACCTCTCCCCTTGCCTTCCATTTAAATACAACTCAACACACACACAAAAAAAAAAAAATCATAAAAGATTTCAAAGATCCATAGCAAATGTTTCCAGGTTAAAAGACCACATTTTATTCTGGCCACTCGCTTGTTCCCACCCAGGATCCCTTTAAACCATTTCCTACCAAACCTCCTTTGGTGCAAGCATGCTCGCCCACACCACAGAGCCAAGCAGCAGCCCCGTGATTAAGCGCGCTGCTGTGTCACTGCTTTGCAGGAGAGATAAGAAGTAGTAACACATAAAAGGTGGCTGGAAGATGCAAAGGCAAAAGAAAAAAAAAAGGAAACTAAGAATAAAAGAGAAAGGGAACTGAAAGCTGCAGTGCAGGATATCTTGTTCCCTGGATTTGGAAGGGAGCTGTAAGAGTCGGGGGTTTAGTTTCCTCTCTTTTCTCATTAAAAGGACAAAACAGGGATCTAACACAAGCGAAAATAGAGGAAAGGAAGAAAAGCCCTGTGGGGACGGAGAGGAGGAGGCGTTGGACAGCACCCAATGGGGCCAGGTGAGGCCAGACACAAGCAGACAGGAAGAAATAATGCCGCTGGGGAGAGGGAACGAGATGGCAATGCCTGTGCATCTCCTATCACCTAAAGGCTGGCACCAAGCCACTCTCGGTGAAACTCAGCGTGTTGCATATGACTGCAGGCGGATCTTCACACATGGATGTGAGCTTCTGAAAACCACAGGCAGGACCAGCCACTTGTCCCCCGCTCTCCCCCGCGATCCCCAGCACAATTTCTAGTTCAGGCCACTTGCCGAGAGACCCCAGCCGCTGACGGGACCAGGAGCTTTGCAACCTCCTCTGCAAGACAGCACCATCGCTACGTTTGAAGATGGGCAAAACCTTTTAGCTAGCATTGCAGAAAGCAAGTTCAGTTTGGGCCCATTGCTCTCACTTCTGGGGAGGACTCCCTGAACCTCAGGCATGGGATGGTTTTCTCACCGAGGCAGATCTTTAACTGTTTTCCCAAAGTCCGGATCCGATGCTTTTTTGTGGCTCCCATCCTTTAGCTGATGAGCCTCTGACACCCTCATAACGATATACCGCTGGGATCCTGAAAATGAGAGGCAAACGGGAACAAGGAGCATGAGAGACACGGGATGCAGATGCTACCGAAGCGGTGGATTTGCAGGGGGAAAATCCAGTGCTACACCCTCCCTCCACCAACGGCTGCAAGGAAGGAGCAGGGAAACAGGCAGCTGGAAAGCTGCAGCGGTGAAATCCATGTAGGAATTACAATTTAAACACTGGAAGCTCTTCCTCTACCCCTGCGTCCCCAGCCACACACGTGCATAAGGATGCAAGCCCCAAGGCGAGCATGAGTACCGTGCAGTCCCAGCCCCAATTCCATGGAGTCGCGTACCTGGGAGGCGCTGGGGATACCCCAGGATGGGGATGGAGATGAGGAGGGAGGCTGCTCCGGCCCCAAGGAAGCCGATCCACCATGCTCCCACCCACAGCGTGTTCTCTGGGGTGATGTCAATCCTGTAAGAAACGAAGTCAAAAGGACACAAGGGAGAGAGGCGGCAGTTTGAAATGGAGCAGGACAGCTCGGCGTGCCTCTTGCTGAAGCTGGCAGGGGTTGGCGGGACACGGGGGGGGCATCAGCAAAGGAAACCCAGCTCTGGCCTCTCCCATGGCCATCTGCTGGGGATGCCACATCCACCATCCCTCTTGCCACACCAGAGGGCCGCCTGCCTTAGCGGAGAGCACAACACAACAAGCCCCAGAAACTACATCATTTAATTCTCCTTTAATCTCTGGCTTGCACATTCACCTCTCCCCATTTCATTTGTGCTCTGGGGGTTGCTGTGATCCTTCTTCCACCCCAGAGCCACCCTTTGCAAGAAAACTGGTGGAAACAACCCATTCTGTCCCCTGGAAACCCGCTCCCCCTTTTTAACCCATTCATCTGCCAAAGAGCCTGTAAGGAGATAAGAATAAATTACAAATACTAGGAAGCAAGGAGGGACTAAGCATCCTGGCTGGATTACCCAGAGGACAAGCAGCACTGCTGGTAGCATTGCCTCATCAGGGAACTCATTCAAAAAATTCACCTGCTGCCCGTAGCCTCATTAGCGCAGGCAGTGCAGCGTGAGGAAGGATTTAAGCTGACAGGCTTGTCAGTGATTTTCTTCCAGCAACAGCACTAATGCAAGCCACCCTTCCAGCCTCAGCACCCCCGCAGAAACACTGCTGAACACCATGGGCACGTTTTCACCCAGCCACCGGGTCATTTCTCCAGATTATTGTTATTATTTTTTTACCCCAAAGGAAACATATAGCATAAAGGAAAAGGAACAAGATTATTTTTTAGCGACTTACTCTCTGCCAATTTCAGTATAAATATTTAGAAACATTCCTCCTACCAGATAACCCGCTGCAGGCCCAAGGATTGCAGCAGTGTAGAAAACAGCTGAAAGGGAAAACAAGCCGTGTTAGACAAACAGCCGTGTTTCAGCCAGGGATGCTGCGGAGCACTGCCGGTGCCCAGCATCCCCTGTCCCACCACAGCCTGATTCCCTCCTGGATCCGGGATGCTCAGCCTCCTGCTGCCTCGCACCCCACTCCCTAAGCCACTGAGAAACAAAGCCAGACAGTTTTGACAAGTTTTCATCTCACGCTTATGTCCCAGGGAAACTTTTGCATCCAACCTAGGAATTTTTATGGCGTGGGGCAGGCAAAATCAGTTCAGTGGAAAACCATGTTTATGTAGTTACTGTTTTATTATTTAGCAGGGACGTAGCTGACCCCACTGCCACATCCTGACTGCCGGCGTGATGAGCAGCGGCGTTGTCTCCCCGCTGACAATACGCAGCGTCTACGCTAAACGTGGCATCCATGGCACTTATTTTGGTTTGCTGCCGTGGAAAGATCATCACCTTACTGACGATCCCCTTGTGATCTCCTTCTCTCCCTGCACAGCCTTCTGATACAACAGTATGGGCAGACTGCTAAATTTTGAAATTGGTGAAAGGTCAGCCGTTTCAGCAATTTCACCCAATAGGACTGTATTTGGCAATTGCTAAGTGATCAGCAATACAGAGCAGAGGAGTGAGCTGAGCCTCCTCCCTCGGTGAAGCTTGGCTGTGCTTTGCACCAGCAGCACCTGAGCAGCCCAGCCACCATCCCTGCTGTGCTATGGCACTAAAGGGGTGATGTCCCCTCGCACGGATCGGGTATGGCCTTATGGTTGTTTGCCAGAGATGCTAATGCCACGCACGCGCTGGGGCACGCTGGGGGGCTCTCCCCAGCTGGCCCCGTGCCGGGAACAGGAGGCACCTCCTGATCTGCAGAGCATGTGTTGCAGGAGTGAAAATACCCAGCTGCACTTACAGTTCCTGCCTGTAAATAATCAAAATCTCTCCAATAGCTGCCCCTTCCCTCTGTTTACCACCTCGCCCATTATCGGGAACAAAAGACTGGGAGCACCTCTCGTGAAACTGCTCAGTGTGGCCTGTTCGGTGCCAAGGCAGATGGACCGGCTCTCCCTCCCACCGCCCAGCTCATGGGTTCAAGCTGCCCCTCTGGCTCAACTCACCAATGTACACAGGGGAGTAGTTAGTCTTGACGTTTTCATCTAAATAGGTGACGCCGAGCGTGTAGAGCGGCGTGGCTCCCATCCCGTGCAGGAACTGCCCCAGCATGAAGACGAACCTGTAGCCAGAGAGGCTGGAGGCAGCCTGGGCACAGGGCAGGCTCTGGTTCCCCCCGCAGATGCCCACCTCCGCCGCCGAATGCGCCTCGTACCGTCCCGTGGTGAAGTGGGGCAAGGCAAAGAGCAGGGAGCCCAAGCCCATGACCAGCACGCCCCAACCCAGCCATTGCGGTTTGTGTCCGTTTCCCCCAAAATAGCTGACAAAGGTCAAGCAGATGCATGCTGCGATGTCGTAGGAGCTGGCGATCAGCCCGCTCTGATAGCTGCGGAGGTCGAAGCGCCGCTCGATGGAGGTGATGACCGTGTTGATGAAGCCATTCACCGTCATGCCTTGCAGGAAGGAGGCCACGCAGAGGAAGAACAAGATGCCCTTGGACGTGTTAAAGAGCTGGCAGCACCTGGGGGTGAACCCCCCCCAGCCGCATGCCAGTTCCTCCCCTTCAGCCGACACATATTTAATCCCTTTGCCGAACTGGGTCTCCTCCTCTCCCGGGTTGGTGGAGCAGAGGGGTTCGGCGCACGAGTCGGAGGGGCTGGGCACGCCAGAAGATGCCGTGCCGTTGCTCAGCGGGGTGCCGCATGGCTCCCGCCTGCTCGGGGCGTCGAAGGTCCGGCCGGCCTCGCCAGGAGGAGGAGACGGGTGGGAGAAGTTGAGTGTCTGAGCGAAACAAAAGCCATTTTCTCCGGTTGAATTCTGGGGCGTTGCCATGAACAGGAACGCAGAGTCGAGCGGCAGGTCAAGGTGGGGCTGGTGGCCGGGGTGGCTTCGTGGGGCAGCGAGGACCTGCCTACCCAGGAGATGCAATTTTCGGCGCTTACATCAGTAGGAAGATGGCGAAGGTCTGAGCCAGGACCATTGCGATCTGTGAAGAAAGAATTTTTACACATACCTTTGTATAAAAACATGCCCCAAACCTTCAAATACTGTTTCTTTCTTTTTTTTTTTTAATAAGTATTAGCATTTCACTGCGCAGTTCAGCTGGATGTGTGCCCTCCACCATGGGGTGTGTTGGTACCCCAAGTGTTGGGGCACCATTAATATTACAGAAAACCCCAAAACATCCAAAAGCATTAAAAAAAAAAAAAAAGCACCTCTAAAGGCAGTCTCCCCACCAGCTGAAGCCTCTTATCCTCCTCTCGAAGAAACCCTGGTTAGACGCCGGACCCTCACAACCTCTGTCCCTCTTCTTCCCCCTGCAGAGAATGGCGTGCACAGCTACAAGTTTCCCACTGTTAAAAGTCCTTTGGTCTCTCTTCCACACTCTGCCAATAACAGTTTATAATTATCCTGAAAAGTTTCCACAGTCAGATTGATTTTATTCCAAGCCCTCAGATCTGTTTACAACTATTCAGTAAAATCCTTTCTATAACTAATTAGACTACATGCCATTTCAGAGCGAGCTGGAGGGCAGAGGCAGCTGACTCTAACCTGATTACCGATGCAGACTGCATTCTTTCAACCGGTTGCTGTGCATCTCAGCACCTGATCATGCCAGCAACCAAGAGTATTTTTTCTTAAATGCCTTGGCTGAACTATAAATGATGAAAACAATAAGGTTCTCCCTTGAATACTGGTCTTAAATATGCAACAAATGCTAGGCAAGAACCTTTTTATTAGAGAGCATCTTCAAAGCATCCTGTATTTCCCAATATTTTTTGTCAATATCTGTTCAAGAGGTTCCTATGAAAATCTTCCTCTTGAGATCGCAATCAGCCTCATCAACAGGGAACGGGAAAAACAGGCACTTATTTTCCCAATAAAATGAACCTTGTTCAGATCACTGTAACCTGGGAATATTGCTGCCTTTGGTGAATAAATTAACTCATCTGTGTGTTGCTGGAAAACCTTACTGACATTTGCTTGGTAGATAACGGCGAAGCTGATGTGCTGCCCTGTACCGGCAGTTCTTGCAGGCACTGGGGCAGGAGGACTCGGCAGAACGTGATGCTCAGAGCAGCATCAAGGTCCTGCTCCCACCCCAGACAGGCAGAGGATAGACCTTGCAAGTGCAAGCAAACTTTAAACACCCAGGTCAGTAGTGCTACAACAGGTCTGGTCCTCAAGGGAAGTTAAACAAATAAGATCCACCTTCCGTTTGCAATTAATTCTATCTTAATTGCCCTGTCTGGGGAGCAGAGCGCACAGAGTATTTCAGGGTCCAGATTTTAGTCGGAATTTGATGATAGCGCAGGGGCAGGGTGAGCTTGGCAGCCAGAAGGGCACTGCTTTTCAGGTCCGTGCCAGACTCCTCCAGGTAACTTCTACCTTAGCTGGCTGAGTACAGTGCAGGATAACTTTGATGTGTAACGTATAAATGCAAAAACTAACTGCGGGCGTTGAATTTTTGCTGCAGAGAAAGACTGTTGTAATGTGCTGGCACAAAAGGATAACGCTTTGGATGTCAGACTATATTTTTTCACTTTTTTGGCCCTCCCATGTCCTTATGACTCTTACAGCTCTAAATCTATTTTATCACCTTTGGTTGCAATATTGAAAACAACAAATAAGAGTGCTTTAGCACTCTAACTTTATTAAAGTCAGAAGTGATTATTAGGTACCGGATCAGGGGCGGAACTGGTCATGTTACCCCGATGTAAATCAAAAGTGCCTCGTGCACGGCAGCCGGCTGACCTCAGCTGCATGCTTCCCATATCAAACATAAGTCTGACGTTACATTTGACTGCACTTGTAAAGAAGGTTGCTTGGCTGGGGACTGATTTTGCTATCACTGATTTCAGTAGTTAGAAAAAGCCCATCTCTGTTAGTTAGCTGATGTGACCAGGAGCCAAGAGCTCCCAAACTGGCACACCTTCACCCTGGAGGAAACACGCCTACTGCCTCTTTACCAGCACTGGGATATCTCCTTTGATACTTCATGAATATATATCGATATTTTGATATTTCATGAGTCAGGAAAGAGATTACAGCTTTTCGTTCAAGTTTTCTTCTCCTTGAAGTAGGAGGAGTCTGGGCCACCGGACCCAGGTGATCACATCTTCCTTCCCTTCAACTTTGGTTACCCGTAGTCCTACTCAGCAGTAAACGCAGGGTGAAACATTTCCAAGAAAGTAACCAGTCTTTCCTCCAAGCAGCAGATGTTTCCCCACACACAGAAGCCTTCTCTGGCCCCAAAGCCCACGTCCTGGCCACCTCCCGATGGACCTGGACTAACAGCTTGTACCCAGGCGCTGCGGGCAGGAACTCCGTTCCTGCTCGGTGCTGTCCACGGAGCTGCTTTTTAGCTCTCAAAGTATTTATAAACTGGCACTGACACATTCACTGGGAATATTAGCTTTCATAGGAGCCATATGCCACTTTAGAGGACAAAATATAATCTTTAGGGAAAAAAACCCAACCAACTTCATGCACTTCCTAATCATTCTTATTCATCTGAGCCATCCATTTATTGCTTCCCATTCATCTCTGTTTTTAATGACTCAGCTGGTGATTTCTTGCTTACATTGGATCAGTCCCAATGCTATTATGACCTAGCTATAGATTTACTCATTTTGCTGCAAGATTTTAACTCAATTTTTTTCAGCTGTACAGCTGGTTCCAGACTGCCAACATTACCAAGTCAACACAATAAAAGTAGCAAGGCAATGAAAGCATATGATTTGTATTTCATGATGAAATTTGTAAAGACTTCCCCCCTAATATTTAGCATTAAATCAATAGTAAAACGTACAAACTTTTTATCAGGTGATCATTTAAAAAGTCACAGGACCAATTAAAAACATTTTGCATCTCTGCCGAGGACTGCGATTACATTAATGTTACAAATTAACTCATAACTGACATGCAAAATAATCCCATTTGCTGAAGCATGCCCAATAATAGTTAATCTTCCCTTTTGCTCTATGGTTTTTGACTTTTATAGGGTATTATTGTGGCAAATAACATCTATTCATAATTTCTGCTTTCCATAGCTGAGCACAGTTTACGGTTTATGGGCAGACTTAATCATTTTTTCAATTCTATAGCATACATGGAGATATTTGCTAAGGAACAGGAATGGGGGATTAAAAATGATCAGAAAATGTACTGTAAACCAGGGAGGAGCAGCCCCAGGCGATGCTCGGTGGCCGCGCTGGGCGGTCTCAGTTATTCTCCCCGACATGCGAGTGAGCCTGACCTTGCTAAACAGATACTTTGACTTTGGGAAAGTCCACATCCACGTACCAAGCTCTTGTTACTCCAGAAAGGGATAAATTCATCTGGGTTTGCACATTTAATTTTCTTGGTAACACGTACTGAATTTTTCTCGGATAGTTTGGCTCCAGAGGATTATCAGTATTACTTCTGTCGTAGCTGATAAACACCATATGGATCAAGCATAATCCACTCGCTGGTTTAGGAACGGGAAAGCCTCCCAGAAGTGAGATAAATCCATGTCCTGGTCCTGTGAACAGGGCTTGTCCTCAGGGTGCTGATTCAGTTAAAAGGGAGATAAAAGAAAGTACGGGGTGATCGGGTTGTTCACCGCAACATTGAGTTTTTTTCCTGGCAGCTGAGGAACTTTCCTCAGCTCACACGAAGCGTGAACCTTGCATTTTTTAGCACGCTTTTAAAAAGCATCCCTTTGGTTCAGCCATACGAAGGACGCTGCTATTGCCGGGAGTGGCACTGGGACCAGCCTGAAGCCTTTCGTAAGCAATTCCTGCAGGAACAGCATCGTCTTGCACACATGGAAATGTTTCAGGAAAGAGAAACACACCTAAAAAGCAGCCAGCTGACCATACATCCAATGCTGTGCTCACCCTCAGTGCTGCAGGGACAGCTGAAGTGCAGGGGAGGAGGTATTTAGAAGCGGAGAGCGATAGGAATACCCTGGCCCACCCCTCCTGTCAGAGACGTGTTTTTACATGATTAGTCCCATCGGAGTCTGAAGCATGGATGAGAGCAGTAGAAGCTGGCTTTAAATTATCACATAAGCAAGGACACATTTATAATTAAATAAATTCCAAATAGTAAAGCTTAGCACTCACAAATCCTTTGTATGTTTTCCAAGCACTTTCCACTCACTGGCAAATTAATGCAATAATATGCAAGAAATCAGGAAGGTGGCTTGGATAATTTTCAATTAGCTGCTTGAAAATGCTTTGAAGATAAATCTAGCCAGATTTTCTGAGCTTACTTATTTGTTCCAGCTTATCTGTGCAAATACAATTGGCTGCAGCTGCCTTAGACCATCTTTAAAAACTTGCAGTGCCAATGCACAAAGCAGATGTAACCGGGCCACTATATTCTGCCACAGCAAAGATTAGCCAGACAAAACGTTCTTTTATGCTGTAATACCTAACTCCCTCTCCCTAATGTCACTCTTGCTTTGATATCTTTTTCCTACCCGTAAGTCTGATCAATGACGGGAAGGTTTTCATGCTGCCACCGTACTGTGCTCTCCAGCCACCGTTACTGCCCATGGAGCCGGGGGTCTCCGTGGCTCTTCCAATGCACATACACCACCAGCATTTTCCCAACATCTAGCCCTGCCCACAGCACGGCATTATTTTCCAGCATTTGGATTCTTACAACCCAGTTAAGGATGTTTAATATTCAGGATAATGTTTCTGCATGAGCCATTAGTCATCTTTTCCCAATGATTGCCAGTTAGTTCCTATAGATATTTCTTCTTTGTTTCCCTGCAGAAGATGCAGATTCAGGCAAATCTTACATGATATAAGTAATGAAACAAAATGAGCAAAACC